ATTAAACCCGGGAGGCGGAGGTTACATTGAGCCGAGATCACGCCATTACACTCCAGCCTGGGCAACAAGAGTGAAACTCCATCTCAAAAAAAAAAAAAAAAAAAAAAGAACCACAGTCCTGAGGGTGAGGGAAGCCTACAGGGCTAGCGGGCTCTGAGGGTAGCTGTGCACCAGGCCCTGTGTTCAGGCCACACATGCTTGGCCAAGTTAACTCAGCCCTGGACACTGGAAGTGGCAGTTGCACCCGAATGCTGGTGCTCAGTCCCCCGGCCTGAGGCCTCAGCTCCTCTGAGACCATTCCTTTGCCCCTCTGAGCCTCATTTCTACCCATAAAATGGGAGTGCCCCTCCCTGCGCCATGCCCCTCATAGGGAGCATGGCAGAGCTGGCAGTGTGTGAGACTCAGGTGAGAAGGTCTTAGGGTCTCTGCACAGGTGAGACCCCAGAACTCATTGGCAGCAACCCCTGGTCTGTTGTCCACTCTAAACGGACCAGGTGGGCCTCTTGGAGAGCCAGCCACCCTGATGGCTGGGTCCTGCAGGAGAGGCTGCTGAGTAGAGATGAAGGTAGGACTTGAGTCCTAGTCCAAGGGGAGGATGACCCCTTATCCTTGGGGAGTGACATGGCCCAGCTCCAGGCCACCCTTCCATGCCCCACCCTACCCCTAGCTCCCCTGTCCATGAGGACGGAGCTGGGCAGTGGCCACGCGGCGCGGCTGCCTCCAGCAGCAGATGGTGCTATCCCACTGATCATGAGGAAGACCTGCACGGCGTCCTTCTCTGCTCACTGACCTCCTCTCTGTGCCAGCCTGGCACCAGCCCTTGCAGGGAGAGGACGTGAGATGGGCCTGCCCCGGGTCTGTGCGGCTGACACCAGTGAGACACTCAGACAATGTAAGAAACAAAGAGCCCAAAGAGCCACTCCAGGTTGCGGCGAGCGCTTCCCATGTCTAAAGCCTGAGCAGGCCAAAGGGACATGGTAGGGGAGACAGGTGACAATTTGACCAGGAAAACCCGACGAGGGAGGCGACAGCAAGCGAAGACCTCAGTGGCAAGAAGGAGCCACCCTGAAGCGGGGTCAACTGCAAAGTCCCTGGGGTGCAGGAGTTCTAGCTCAGGCCCCGGGCGGCCAGGCCAGCGGGAGGCTGCCTGGAACCTGCAGAGGGGCTAGGGTGACGGAAACAGGCAGGCAGCCTTTGCAGGGCTGAGCCAGGGGCTCTGCCTATTGTTCTGAGTGTAGACAGGGGTTAACTCTGGGGCTGTGGCTTTAAGGGCAGGTGCAGAAGCTCCTCTACTTTTGGCTGGGGATCTTGCTTGTGGCGCACCCTGAAAAAGAGAACCTCGCTGCTGTCAGTGGAGTTGCCTGAGATGCTACCACTGCCCTGCCTCAAGGTTCCTCCACCCCCTGCTCCCCTCAGGCCCTCTCTGACCTCCCACAGAACCGAGGAATAGAAGCATCCCCAGGACTTGGCCCACGAGACCGCCAGCACCCGTCTCCTGGAAAGCTCATTGGCAAGTACCGTGAGTGACAGGTGATAGGCCCAAGTGAAGGGACCACGGACCGGCATGAACTGTGTGAGCTGCTCAGGACAGGAAAGGGCTCATATTTACAACCTCTATAGCCGCTCACATTTCTAGGAAAGCTACCAAGACCCCCAGGAGATAAAGGGACATGGAGGAGAAAACCCCAACATCAAAGCGACTCATGGAGCCATATTCAGTCCCACAGCTTCCTTCGGCTGGAACGCAAACCAAGCACTGTCTCGAAACTGACATCCAGGCCGGGCGGGGTGGCTCACACCTGTAATCCCAGCACTTTGGGAGGCCGAGGTAAGCGGGAGTTCGAGATCAGCCTGGCCAACACAGCAAAACCTCATCTCTATTAAAAATATAACAATTAGCTGGGCATGGTGGCACAGGCCTATAATCCTAGCTACTCGGGAGGCTGACGTGGGAAGATGACTTGAACTCAGGAGATGGAGGTTGCAGTGAGCAGAGATCACATCATTGCACTCCAGCCTGGGTGAAAGAGTGAGACACTGTCTCAAGAAAACAAAAAAACAAACAAAACCTGCCATCCAGCCTGGGCAACATGGAGAGGCCCCATCTCAACAGAAAATGTAAAAATTAAAAATTGGTGGGGCGTGGTGGTGCATGTCTGTAATCCCAGCTACTTGGCAGGCTGAGGTGAAAGGATTGCTTCAGCCCAGGAGTGCAAGGCTGCAGTGAGCTGAGATCGCACCACTGCACTCCAGTCCGGGGGACAAACTGAAACCCCCCATCTCAAAAAGAAAAAGGAAAAGACTTTCATCCAAGCCAGGCAAGTCTGAGAAACTGTCAAGGCCAAGAAGAGTCTGAAGATGAGAGAACTACCCGTGACTGGTGTCTTGGCTGGATCCTGGAACAGAAAAAGGACATTAGGGGAAAACTGAGGAGCTCTGTATAAAGCATGGACTTCAGTTAATAATGATGGATCACTATTGGTTCATCGATTATAACAAGTACACCACACTAACACAAGGTGCAAATAACAGGGGACACGAAGCACGGGGTACACAGGAACTCTCTGCACTGTCTTCGTAACTTTTTGAGAAATCTAAAATTATTTTAAAATAAATGGGTTTTTTTTGTTTTTTCTTATTGTTGTTGTTGTTATTGTTGTGTGTTGTTGTTGTTTTTTGAGACAGAGTCTCGCTCTGTCAGGCTGCGAGTGCTCTGCGAGAGCTCTGTCAGGCTCCAGCTCTCCAGGCTGGAGTGCAGTGGTGTGATCTCAGCTCACTGCAACCTCTGCCTCCCGGGTTCAAGCGATTCTCCTGCGTCAGCCTCCCTAGTAGCTGGAACTACAGGTGCCCGCCACCATGCCCAGCTAATTTTTGTATTTTTAGCAGAGATGGAGTTTCACCGTCTTGGCCAGGATGGTCTTGATCTCCTGACCTCGTGATCTGCCCACCTTGACCTCCCAAAGTGCTGGGATTACAGGTGTGAGCCACCGCGCCTGGCCTGAAATAAACGTTTATTAAACCTTATTAAAAACTAAAAGTTAAGTATCATTGCCTGCTTGCCAATTAATAAAGACAAAACAAAGTAGGAAAAGAACACACACACACACACACACACACACACACACACACAAAATGTATCCAGTGCTGGTGAGGATGTGGTTAAACAGGTAGCCTCCTGTGTGCGCCAAACCGCATCAGCTGACACTTTTAAATTGATACATAGTATTTTACTATTTATGGAGTACATGTGATATTTTGTTACATGCGTATGATGTGTTTGTGGGGTTTTTGGTGGCACGCACGTGTGTGTGAGAACGTGTGTGTGTGTTTTGAGACAGGGTCTTGCTCTGTCACCCAGGCTGGAGTGCATTGGTGTAATCATAGCATCATAGCTCACTGAGGCCTCGACCTCCTGGGCTCAAGTGATCCTTCTCCCTCAGCCTCCTGAGTAACTGGGACCACAGGAGTGTGCTACCATGCCCGGCTAATTTTTTTTTTTTTTTTTTTTTTGTAGAGACAAGGT